TACCGGAAAAAAAAAAAAAGGTTAGTTTCAATAAAACTTTGCTAAAGTGACAAGAAAAGGGGCTTCTTGCTGAGGGCGATTTCTTGCAAAGAGCTGCTTACAGGTCCAGGAATCGACATATGGAATTCCATGTGGTTTCCCTCACTATTAATAATCCAAGTGCAGAATTTTTGATTCCTGTTCCCACAACCTTGGACTTTGCCAGTTTAGAAAGGAGCAATGTTTCCATCACTGCACACAATGGTGATTCTACTGAATTGGAAGTTAAGACTGACACCTAGGTCCTCATGCTACTGATCTTATAGGTAAAGATGGGCTTAATCTACTGCTGAGATGAGTGATCCTGATGACTAAAAGGAAGTTGGGTTGCTGCGCTACATTAGAGCAAGGAGAATTATGTGGAATGCAGAAATTTCTCCGCCCCCCCCAACCACAAAAATAGCAGGTCCACTGAAGATTCTGACCCTTCAGGAATGAAGGTTTAGAACATCCCACCAGGCACAAAACCTTGACCTTCTGAAGTTATGGCTGAGAGGCAAGGAAACATGAGATGGGTAGTGGAAGAAGGAAGTTATAAACATATTCCTGTGAATAGCTGTAGAAACAATGACTAAATGGCTATATATTATTTCTTCTTTGCATTTTGTGTGAATGGGTGTATTTGTGTGTATTTGTAAATACAAATTTATTTTTCTTTCACATCCTTCCACGTACTATTTTATATATGTTTACCATTTAGTCTCTAGGTGACCAAATATTCAGATAGAACTGTGACTGAATTGGGGGAATTATTATGGCCCAGAGGTACATAGCGTGACTGCTAATGAAGGTGGATTCATTTATGGTTGAGACTTTGGGCCCCTCATTTTGAGAAAAGGGTGAGAATATCTTTATTTGAACAAAGGATAGTTGCATTTCTGCATAAAAACATAGAGTTGTTTTTGTCATTGTTTAGAAGACAAATAGGCATAGAAGTGATGTGTGTGTGTTGAGCAGCCAAAGGGAGGAGTCTGTCGGTGATTAGGTTATGATCTCTCAGCTTCAAACCCACCGTCTGCTTTGTGAGGTTGGGGCTGCCCCTCTGCAAATCACATCTCTGCTCTGCCGCAAGGCTTTGTTAGGCTCTGCCAATAGGGGGCGCTAGAGAAAAACTACTGGACAGGAGGGGGAGGAAGAGGCTTGCTCCTTCCTGTTACTTACTGCGTGCTGCTTATTTGCTCTTCACTTCTCTCAGGGTCAGCCCAGCCTCACTTCCCTTTAGAAGTGGCAGCTCATTCTCTGCCATTTGCAAACTGGCCTCATCAGACCATCTCAGAGACGCGACCACTCGCTGTCCCCTGCGCTCTCCTCAGAGGTCTGAGCTTCAGCTGCTCAAATCACCATCTCGAAGCTTCTCAAGCTTAATAATTTCAACCTCTCCCTTTATTCTCCCAGCCCTAGAATTGATAGCTGCTTTCTGGAATCTCTCTCTTTGATATCTTAGTGTTCTCTCTTTGCTTTATCAGTTCTTCAATAACTAGTTAACAATTCTTTATATTAAATTATCTCAGTGGAAGTGCCTGGTATGGTTTCTATCTCCTGAGTGGCACTCGATTCAAAAGACACACACAGACTGGATCATAAAGCATCGTACAATACACCTGGTAAGAAGTTTGGACTTACCCTCAACAAGATGGTTGAAGGGTTTTTCAAGCAGGAAAGTGACATAATTTTTCTCAAATTCAAATTGTATTATCCTGGCTGAATTCAGCAGAATAGGTTGGAGGGGTCAATACTAGAGGTGGCTAAGAAGGTGTGGCAGAAATCCAGACGAGATGCTGGCTTGAACTGAAGAGGTGAAAGTGTTGACAGAAAAAACTGAGTAAATGGAAGAGCTATTAAATATCGAATACTATTAGAATCAACAGGAATTGGTGATGAATTGGTTAAAGGTAGGAAGGAGGGAAAGGAATTTATTTCACATGGAGGTGAGACAGGAAGCCATCAAGGGTGATACACAGCCTCATGTAATGACAGCTGGTGATTCAATTCAGAAAAAGAAGCCCAAACACTGAAGGGTAATCAGGTTTAGGGCAGTCACATCAATTCGGTTGTGAACTGTGGTCTTTGGGTCTTAGGACATCTAGGGGTGGCTGGATTCAGAGATATGGAACTCACGAGAAGTAGATTTGACCTGGAGATAGAGATTTGGGAGTCAAGAAAATGCCTGGTAAGAGAGCAAAAGAAGTTGATGGAGTGTCCCGGGGGAGAAGGGAGTGAGAAGAGGTCTAAGGTCAAAACCCTAAAACACAATGTGAGGTATGTTTGGTGTGGTTTTGGAGTAAACAGTTGTAGTGCTCTCCATTTCTGAATTTGAAAGGTACTATCAGCTCTGTTCAGATTTAGGGCCCATTTGTGGGACTTAAGGACTTCAGAAAGGAGCTTCACAATCTCCTCCTTTCGGGATAGTTGCTATGCTGTCGTCTAGCGTTCACTGCCATGCCAGTGTCTCCCTGCATAGGGGATTCTAGCGGAGACCAACTTGTTCATTGGCATGACTCCTAGGTGGCCAGTGTGGGGCGCTCGTCTCTGAGGAACTGATGCAGAGGTGCCAAAGGAATGCTGAGACCCTGTGGGCAACACGAGACCTCTGAGTGAGTTAGACTACTGCAAAGCCACGTCTAAAGGGCCACTTGATAGGACATGACATACAGGTGCTGACCCAACAGGGGACCAATCTATTACCTTGACCAATTCAATTATATTTTCCTTTGAGGAGTATAATGGTGTAATGGTTAAAGGCACAGGTGATAGGCAAACTAAAAGAGCTGATCCCAGCACCTTGCATTGAGCAGCTGTTTGGCCTCCGGCAAGTTACCTCACTCCTAAGCTTCAGATTATTCATGGATGAAATGGTGAAAGTCATAGCAACCCCAATCATAGGGAAGTTGACGTTTAAATGAGAAAATCCTTATACATCCCAATGCCTGGTATATTAATAAGCCTTCTCTGTGAGCTATCTGTGCTAGATAGCAGTTTATTTAGGCTCCTCTCCAAAGTCAGCCTGCATTACTGGCTCTGTGATCCTGGAGATTTAAATATTTCTCCTTTGCAGTGAGCACAGTGTTAAGCTTTATCAATGGAGGGTTTTTGCAGGAGATGGGATTTCTCTCCCAGAGTATGGTATGCTGCCATTTTTGCTTCTCGCTCCTGCTGTGTGGCTGTCAGTGGCACGTGTGTTGGGATAGCCAGTGGTACTCTGCTCCAGCTGTATGTAGCCTGGCCTGAACCGGTGATCACTTCACACGGCCCTCCTAACATGGATACAGAGCATCCCAGGCCTTGTGGCACTCTGCCCACAGATAGGCTTCTGATGCCCCAGCTCGCTCTGCGTGCCTGCCGCCAGCCTCAGCCTGCCGGCACTCCCTGAGCTGTTTTCCAAGGCCCTCCAGACATGCACACTGCACACCCCAGGCTGCGCACTGTCCTGCCAGTGAGCAGGGTCCCACTACCCCAACTTCCTCTGCAAGCCTGCCTGCCAGCCAGCCTGCCTCAGCATACCTGCCGGAGGGTAATTTCCTGCTTGCCTGGAAAATACAGACTAGCTCTAGAGCCTGGGCAACACAGCAAGCATCTCTGCTATTGTGTGGGCTGCAACCACACCTTCTCCAGTGAGCTCAGAATCCCAGCCTCGGGGAGGGTGCTTCATTCCAACTTTGTCCTTCCTTGGGTACCCTCCCTCAGCCCTAGGCTATTCTCTAGAGGTCCCTTTACATCTTTAGAGTTACTTCCCTATTATATTTAATTCTTTTCTAATTTTAAACTTTTCATATTCAAATTAATGGTAGTTTCTGTCTCCAGAATGGACCCTCGTACACTATTTTTAGATATTTTATTCAACAAATAGTTAGAGTTCTTGCAATGTGGGCAGCACTGTTCTAAGTAGTAACAAAGCATCAGTGAACAAGAAAAAATTCCTGCCCTAGGAAAGTTGTATTCTCTATAGGAAGATTGGGGCATCGGAGTTAAATGATGTGAGGTGTCTCTTAGGCTCTAGAAGGCACAAGGTGTCGCTCACATGTTTCATAAACCTAAGCTTTGAGATAAAACTCACATCTGCTCCCTGCTTTAGAAAAGTTGGTTTAAAATACTGACTAATTCAAATCCAGTTCCTTCAAATGTATCTACCACAATCTTTTTGTTTAATCATATTTTAAAGTCAAATTGCTTTTGAGTGAGCTTGTCTTCTAAGTTCATTATGATATATATTTTAAATTTAAAATTTTACTATTCTTTACTATCCTGGTGCTTGGTACCGTTTCAGTCATCTAGGGTGAGTGGCAGTATTCAATAGATATATTGTTACTATGCAGATATTCTTTTGAAGTTGCTTAGCAACAATTATTCCCTATTCAGCTCTTACCAGCTTTTGCACAAAGATGTTTTGAAACCCTGAAGAGGGTGTACTATTTCAGGTATCTAGCTTTGAACTCTTATTTCTTTGTTAAAATAGAACCAGTTAATCTTACAATTTGTACAAAAATGATACATTTATTAAAGCACATAATAATTGCCAATTGAACCCAGCATTTCTACATGTTTCTGTCAAACTTAAGAGATATCCAGAACACAAAACTAGTTGGAATAAGTGAATTAGTGTTTCAAATTCACTAATCTTGAGTGTCAAAATGAATTTCTTAATCAAATAAATTCTGAAAATGAAAAGATGAAAAATGAGATTAGGCTAGATAAACTTACCATCTTCAAATTCAGTAATTTTATATGAATCTAATTGACATTACAAAGATCCTCTAGTCCTTTCTCTATCAGGTCTCTTACCAAAAGAACAAAATTAGAAACCAAGAGAAAATGCAAACAACCCTCAAGTATTGTTCACTGCAAAGCCCTCAAGTATTGTTCACTGCAAAGCCAAGTTTATTTGAAACACATCAACTAACTTGGTGCCAAGGGCTAGAAAGCAAAGACCTTTATGAAAGATGAATTAAAGCAACAAGGGCAGACACAAAAGTAACATTACCTTTATTTTCCCTCGCAAACAGGTATGTTCTTACATTACCATACTGACCAAGTTCATAAAATGCTATGAATACATCAAAATTGTGGAGAGTTTGTTTAGGCTAAAAGAAAGAGGCGAGCTAATTAAAAAGAAAGAAAACTTGTTGTTGATCCTTAATTGAAACAAAATAATTATTTTCCTGTTTTATTTAATCATGGGTGGTTGTTGTTTGAGTTCTACTGCTTTACTAAAAACAATCTCAGAAATTCGTCAAAATTTCCTAGAGAGCTTTTAAAAACTGTCTAACCCTCTTAAGTGCCCAGGCCCTATCCCATATAGAATCTTCAGAGTGGGCACCCAGTAATCTGTATCTTTAAAGATACAACATCATACACAATGGTAAAATGCTCTTTAAATAAGTCCCAATATGCCGTGTGTGGGGCAGGGCAAGAGGTTGTTGATATCTTTTTCTTCCTATGATCTTAAGCAAGCGTCTCCAAAAGCCTTTCAGACAGTCTATTTAGAGATTTTTATTTTATTATTTCTCTTTCCTTTGCTGTTAGTTTAAACAACAGCTATCTTTCCCACTCCCAAAGTTTTTACTAGTTTAAAAAATGAAACTCAATGAGGTATACCAGATACACAGAAGAATGTATTAAAATATACATGTATAATTGAATAATAATGATAAACATTCACATAAACATCACCCAGTCAAAATATAAAACATAGCCACCCAGGACCGCAGAAAACCCTCATATGTCCATTACCAGTCACAACCTTGTTCACTCCCATGGAAATAACCATCCTTCCAATTTTTATGACTGTTATTTCCTTACAATTTTACCACTAATATCTGCGTCTCTTACGATTTTGTTTCATTCTGGCTGCTTTTGAACTTTGTACAAATGGATTCATACCATATGTATTCATTTGTATTTGACTTCTTTCAGTTAGTATTATGAGAAGCTAGAGTTCATTGTTTCATTGTTATATGACTATACCATAACTTTTTATCCATTCTACTGTTGAAGGACATTAGGTTTGTTTCCAGTTGGCAGCTGCTAAAATCATTCTTACATGAACATTCTTGTATAGTATCCTAATCCTCCACAAGTGTACATATGAAGGCGTGATTTTGTCGGTGGTAAAGTAATATTAATAACAACAGTACTAGCAAATAACAATGATAGCAAACATTTTATAGTGTTTATTTTCCAGTAACTGTTCTGAGCAGTTCAGCAAACACTTTATAGTGTTTAGTTTCCAGGAACTGTTCTGAGCATTAACTCATTCAATCCCCACAAGGGCAAAAATTGATTCTTGGAGGCAGGGTAGGAGGACAGAATCTTACTCTTTTTATGTATAAAGTCATATGCTCGAGATCACAGAACTAGAAAGATGGGCTTCAAATCCATATAGTTGGCAGCAGAGTCTGTAATCAACCACCACATTATAATGTAATAGTATGTATAGGCTATAAACATCTTCAAATTTGTAAGAGAATGTTAAAATGTTTTCCAAAGAGGTTATACTAATTTATACTCCCACAAGTAGGATGAGAGTTTTCATTATTTCCTATCTTTTACAACACTTGTTATTCGTCAAATTCCTTATTTTAATCTGGAGGTTGTGTAATACAATATCATTGTGATTTGCATTTGCATTCCTCTATTACAGATGAGGCAAAGGGTATTTTTTGTTTACTTATCATGTGGGTTTCCTATTCGTGAATTTCTTGTTTAAGTTTTTTGCCTATTTTCTATTGGATTTTACATCTTTCTCATTGATATGTAGGAATTCCTTAGATGTTCTGAATACTATTTCTTTGGCCACTATACGGGGTGCAACCATTTCTTCACACTCTGAGTCTTGCATTTGCACGCTTTACTCCTTTTAATGAAAAAAAGTAACACGTTAATATATTCAGATTTATTTTTTTCCTTTACAGTTAGAACTGGTTGTGTCTTATTTTATAAATCCTCTACCACCCCAACATTTTGAAGATATGCTCTGTATTATATTCTTACAGTGTTGTAATTTTGCCTTTAATTAAGAAACGTACAGCCAATTCTAGGCACCAAAAAAAGTTTTTCCCCCCCCCACAAAAATACTCAATTGTCCCAGAACCATTTATTGAAAGGGAGTCCTTTCTCCACCACCATTATGGCAACGGCAGTACCACCATCACCATAAACCAAACCTCCATATAATTAAATGCTACACTGTCTTAATAACTATAGTTATGTTACTGACCGGAGTTCTTCGAATCTTTAATCAATAGAAATTAGTAAGAGGCCAGACAAGAAATTCAGGCAAGGCTTTATTGGGACTCGTGCTGCAGCACAAGGGAGTGAAAGCAAGCAACTGGTTCCCTTGCTAGCTCTCTAGGGTGTGGGCGAGCTGTTCCTTAGATGGGGTTAGGGTAGGGGCAGCTCCGGGGGTCGGGCAGGAGGGGCGGCTTGGGTGGCCTGCCCACCCCTTTGGTGGTGCTGGGATCATGTGCAGTAGCCTGCTTTTGCTCCCAGCACCTCAGAAGTGGCAGTTGGGTTTTGGTCTTTTTTGTTTCTTGTTTTTCATAATTTGCCCCAAATGTACATGCACACAGTTACTTTTCAGTCCCTTGTAGTTTCTTTGTATTCTGCTGCTTGAGGAGACATTTGTCCAGGTGCAAGCACTGCAGCAAAGGGTCCCAGGTCCCAGCCTGTCTCAGTTATGTTTGGCTATCTCACAGGCAGGGTAAATCCTATTATATTGTTCTTCTTAGAGTGTGCCTTGGCTATTCTTGGTCTTTGCATATCCATATAAATTCTAAAATATGCTTGTCAATTAGAAAAAGATCATCTGGAATTTTGATGAAAATCGCAATGAAACTACAAACCATTTGGGGATACTTAAGATATTTACAATATTCAATCTTTAAATCTTTGAGCATAGAGTACAACTTCATTTAAGTCTTCTTTTAGTGTCTTTAAGTAAAATTTCACAATTTTCTCCAGAGAGTTTTGAATATCTTTTGTGAAACTGCTTTCTAAGTATTTAATACTTGATATTATTTTAAGGATACTTTCATAAATTTTCATGTTGTTTCTTGCTATATAGGAATGCAATTGACTTTCAGATAGAAATTTTTGCTTCTAACAAACTTGCTAAATTCTCTTATTCATTCTAATGATTTATAGATTCCCTTAGATTTTCTACATATATGATAATATTATGAGACTAAGAGTTTTGACTTGAAGAGCAGTGATGACAGACATTCTTGTCTTTTCCCCAGCCTCAAGGAGAAAGCTTTCAAGGATTCTTCATCATGTTTGCTGCCGATGTTTGGTAGAAACCATGTAATCAGACTGATGAAGTAACCTTTATACCTACTTTGTTAAGAGAATTTCTATCATGAATTGATGTTGAATGTTAAGCAAATGCTTTTTCTACATCTAATGAGATGATCATGAGTAAATTTCCTTTAATTTGATTATGTGGCAGATCATAGTAATTGATTTTCTAACAACTTTGGACTCCTGGGATAAACCTGACAAGGTCATGATGAATACTTAGTTTAGGATTTTGCAACTATGTTCCTAAGTGAAATTGGCATGTAATTTTCCATTTTATCATTTGCTATCAGGAATTTGCCAGTCTGATATAAAATTAGTTAGGGAGCAACCCTCTTTCTCTGTTCTCTGTAAGGGCTTAAGTTCGGAATTATTTATTTATTGAACACTTGGCAGTACTCATGAAAGAAGTTATTTAGGTCTAGAATTTCCTTTCTAGGAATATTTATTAATTTAATAACTGTAAAACCATTCTTCTATTTTGGTAAGCTATATATTTCTAAAAATGTGTCCATTTCTTCTACATGATACAAATTTATTGGGTTTTTTGTTGCTCATATTTAAAAATCACAGAAATAGTTGTCCTCTTATGCACTCCTGATATTATTTGTGCCCGCTTTTTTTCTTAACTTCACCAGAGACTTGTCACTGTTATCTTTTTTCAAAGAATGAACTTTTGATTTTTTAAAAAATTTTCTGCCCTTATCTTGATTTTCTTCTTTCCTTTGAGATTATTTTATGCTGTTTTTCTAATTTATTAAGTTAGATGCTTCTCTCAATATTCAGCCTTTTTTTTCGTTCTTTCCTTCTGCTAGACACATTTAAGGCTATTAATTTCCTTCAACTACTGCTTTAGCTACAACCCACATATTTTATTAAGTATTCCACTAGTGCTCAGTTTCACTTATATTCTAGGATCCATTAGGATTTCTTGATTAATTCATGGGTTATTTGGAACTGTTAGCTTCCTAGAATATGGGGCTGTTTAATCACTTACTTCCCAGGTAAATACCAATTTAAAATGATCCTCCTAGTAAATTGAACCTTTCATTTTATGAAGTTACTTTCCTTAGCAATCTCTCTGCCTTAAGCAACTTTTTTCAAATATGTATATATCTACATCAGCTTATTTCCGGTTGGTATAACTTTTACCATCATTTTACTTTCAAACGTTCTGTATTTTATGCTTTAGATGTGGTCTCTTACCATAGCATATAATTGGTTTCATTTTTTAACCAGTTTAACAATCTGCCCTTAACTGGATAACAGTCCATTTACATTTAAGATAATTACTGACATTTTGAGTTATAGTTCTCAATTTTTATCTCTCTACTTAGCTCCTCTTCTATGTCTTTTCTCTTTCCTTATTTTATAATGATTGTTTTTTCCTATTTCATTTTTCCCCTCTACTAGCTTGGAAGTTATATACTCATTTCTATGTAACAACCACTAACATGTTATACAGAAATGAGTTACACACTAGAAATCACATTTCCACTTAGTTAATCAGTACTTTTATTCTCTTCTCAGTCCATCCAAACTTAGAGTACTTATTCCAATCACTACCCTACCAACTTACATATTATTGTTTTCTAAATCCCTCATTTCTTAACCCCAGGAAACATCATTATTGTTCCATATGGTAAATGTTCCTTTAGATTAATCTATATTTACAACAATCTTGGTCCTTTATTCCTTCTTTCATCAACTTTCTACTATACAAAGCACATCCTTTAGAATTTCCTTTAGTAAGAACCTGCAGGTGGCAACTGTGCTCATGCTTCGTTGTCTGAAACTGTCTTTATTCCACCGTCATTCTTGAAATATATTTGCTAAGTATAGAATTTTAAGTTGAAAGTTATTTTTTGCTCACGCATTACAGTTATCCAACTGGGTTCTGGCTTCCAAATCAGCTAAAGAAAAGTCTAGCTGACGTAGCTCTGAAGGTTATCTGCAACTTCTGTTTTCGCTGCTTTTACAAGTTTTTGTCTTCAGCACTCCACTGTTTCACTGCAGTTTATCTAAGTGAGGATTTCATATTTATCCCACTTGGGATAAATCTGTGGACTGGTATTTTTCATTGATTTAAAAATTCTCAGCAATGATTTCTTCAAATATTGCTTGTGCCCCATCATCTATTTGAGACTATTATTAGCTATACATTAGACCCTTTGGATTTCTCCACTCTGATATTTTTAAGTTTCTCTTCTGTGTTACATTCTGGATCATTTCTTCTATTTTGTACTCATTGATTCTCTTTTCAGGCCCATCTAATCTTGTGTTAAACCTCCACATTGGCTTATTTGTAATTTTAATTCGTCTATTTTCCATTCCCAGAATTTCTATTCGGTTCTTTTTTAAATACGCTAGGTCAGTTTTTATAATGCCTTGTTTCCTGTAGATATTTTAAAACTTTTTATTTTTTAAACATATAAACATAGATGTTTTATATTATACATGTGCTAATTCCAAAGTTATTTTCTTGTATCTTTGCTGCCTTTCATTCATGATGCTAGCCTTCCTTACGGACTTTATTTAAACTTAAGGCATTCATTTCCTAGGAAAACTGTCTAGTATCCTCCAAAGATTTGTTTACATCTGCCAGGCATTCATTCTGGGGCCCCTAAATTCATAGCTCAAGTTTTGTCTGTTTTAGCACCCAGATAACTTGAATTTGGGGTTACTTCACTTTGCACAAACACTGGAGCAGGTTTGCTTCCGGCTCACTCTTACCCTGATGGTGTAGTCCTTAGCGGCTGGTTTTCTCCACCTCTGGAGGCTTGTATGCTTTGTCCTCTGCCTACTGTTCCAAAGGACTATCAAAACCAAAGCTGAAATTCACCTTTGGAGCCAAAGAGGCTTCAGCAGTTTCACTTAGATATTGGCCTTGTTACTTAATCTCTTAGAATACTGCCAACTCTACATGCTTCTCAAAAATGCTTTTATATTCTACCTAAAAGTTTTCATTTTCATGAGGAGAAATGCTCAGGTTAACTAAGTCTGCCACATTACTGAAAAGGAAATCTAACGTCTTTGTGAAATGTTGTCTATTTCGTAGCATCCTTTTCATGCTTATCAATATCAAGTAATTTCCCATGTCCTTAAAAACCCTTTGTAAATCTAAATTTAAATTGTTTGACTGTACATGTTATCACAACTCACTTAACCTTTCTGATGTTTGAGGAATTTTTGTTCTCAAATTTTGACTCTTTTAAACACCAATTCTAATAATATGTTTATATCAAAAACTTTGTCCACATTTCTAATTTTTCCCCCCTTAGGACAGAATTCTAGAAATAGAGTTAATGGGTCCAAGAGGTATGATAATTTTTAAAGTTCTCAATACACACTGCCAATTTCTATAAACTACTAGATTCCCCTCAACCACCACCACCAAGGGTAAGTTGATAACTGAACCATCTCTAGATCAGATTTGCATGTCAATAAGGTGATGTTTACAGCCAAATGGAGAATAATATATATAGGAGTATGCCAAAGACAAGGAAGGCATATACAACTTACTACAGAAAAAGAAAAAAATTCTAAGTCTGAAATATCAGACTAGGTAGAGAAAAGGTAATGATTCTGAAATAGTAAAGCAGTAGAGTGTATCAGTTTTAACTATATAACAAACCACCACAAAACATATAGTGACTTAAAAGGACTACCATTTATAAAATATATAGTGACTTAAAAGGACTACCATTTATTTAACTTACAATTGGCAATTTGGGCTGGGATCAGCCGGGCAGTCCTTCTGGGCCTGGCTGGGCTTATTCATGTAACTGCAGTTGGCTGAGAGCTGGCTGGTCTAGGATGGCTTCACCGCTACTCCACATTCTCCACAAGACCAAGTTTGTTCACATGGTAGCCAGGTAGGTTTCCAGTAGTGTAGGTGGAAGTATACAAGGCTCTGAGGCCTAGAGCCTGAGTTGGCATACTGTCATTACCCACATTCTTTTTAGCAAATCAAGAAACAAGGGGAGTTCCAGGTTTGCGGAATTCTAACACGGATGGAATTCCTGACGGGAGGAACTGCAAAGTCACACTGCAATGGACATGGGTACTAGGAGCGATAGAGAACTATGGCTATTTTGCAGTCCACCACATGGAGTTGTCAGAATGGAATAAAGAGAGGGAGGCCTCCAGGAAAATTGTGAAAATCTAGGCTAAATTACAGAATTCTGGACTGAGTGTATGTTAATATCATTCATTCCCTGAGGAGGGAAGAAAAGTAATTTTAAATATGAGTTGGAAAATGATGAACAGAATTTTAAACACAAATCTGAAGAAATGAGATTTAGGTTGGTGTTATAGATTTAAGAGTATAGCTAATATCTGAAGCAACGGATATGTAAAGTAGGAGTCCTAAAGACGAAATCCCAGAGAACATCACTTTTTTAAAAACGAGAAAAAAAATAACCTAAAGGAGAGTTAGGCAGTATACAAACCAAGCAGGAGTGAGTTAAAAGCAGGAGAAAGTAAATAATACTATCAAGCCTCACAGGATAACATATCAATCTTTTTTTTTAAATTATTTTTTTATTTATTTTTGGCTGCAGTGGGTCTTCTTTGCTGCATGCAGGCTTTCTCTAGTTGTGGCGCGCAGGCTCAGTATTTGTGACACACGGGCTTAGTTGCTCTGCAGCATGTGGGACCTTCCTGGACCAGGGCTCGAACCCGTGTCCCCTGCATTGGCAGGCGGATTCTTAACCACTGCACCACCAGGGAAGTCCCTAACATATCCATCTTATACTGATTAATACCCTATTAATTTTGGCGAGTGAGTGTTTACCTTGGTGAGAGCAGCAGATGAAGTGAAAGGAAAAGGAGACAGTGACATTGAGGGTATCGCTCAATGGCTGGATGAAGTGAAAGATCACAGAAACTAGGGGAGATTGGGACGGAAATGAAGGCAGTAAAGGAATGATACTGAACAAACTGAGTGGTCAAAAGACTAATGAGTTCACAGTTACAGACCACTCTCTGACATGCTGCTGATTTCATCAGTTCCCACACTCTTAGTGTCTCAGTATTTACACAGCACACCTACAGCAAACAAAACAAAACAAAACCCCACAACAGTTTTACTACATAGTTCAAACAACTCAGTAGGTATTCAAGTACTAACAAACAATTTAGCACCTACTGGATACTACACAGCTTCTCAAACACTGTAATCATACTGGAAATTTTCTGTCACTAATTTTTGTGTGGTATTTGCTTTTCTCACAGCAATTGCTAAAGCCCAGGTTTACAAAGATATGTCATCCAAAAGAATGTTGCAATACAACAGTGAAACTGAAATACCTCAAACTAGTAACTGTGTGGTGTCCAGTAAATATGGCTGTGATTTCCTGAAAAATTTGAAATATCCTGCAGCACCGCTGTGGTTCTCTGTGGTGCCCTGGGGCATCTCAGTTCATATTTTGGGAACCACAGCTCTATCCCTATCCTTGCTTTACTTCTTCATAGTTCTAACCACCCTACCTATTTTATCTATGTATTTTGTTTCCCTCTTTTAGAATGTAAATTCCATAGGGATAGACATTTTGTCTTTGATAACTGCTGTATCCCAGTCTCTAAAATGATGCCTGGCATATTAAGGTTCTTTGGTATTTGTTGAAAGAATGCCCAGGTGCAGGAGTAAAAAACTCATCACATTAAGATGCAATGACAAAAGCACGGAATGTAGTAATTCATAATTTCAGAATTGGAGCTTTATTTAGTTTTGAATAAAGCAGGTTTAAGTGTAGCCAAGAAAATGGGTGGTTGGATTAGTGAACGTGAATAATGAACCATCAAAGAACCATCTGGCTACTAGGTAAGTCAACCACATAGATTAGTACTAATGTCACCAAAATGATGGCAAGACATGAGATGAAGAGGTATGAGCCAGGTACCAAAGAACAAGAAAATGTATAACCAAAAAGAAAATACTGCAAATGAAAGATTTCTTAAGTAAGGGTGACACAGTAATGGGCTGAAAGGGACAACAGGAGGGGGTTCTATGTTCCAGTGAGTTCTAAAGGATCCCCAACTCCCACATCACAAGACACAAAGAAGCAGTGTCCTCGCAGGTGTTAGGTTTCTATTAACCAAGAAGATGAAAAAGATAGTACTATAAAGAGTTTGAGGACGTAACGTATTCGTTCACGCTGAAACAGGTTTCCTGAATGCACTGGTAAGACTAACTTCAGGGCAAGAGCTTTATCTTATTCATTGTTTTATTCCTGGAGCCTGTTATAATGTAAAGACTAATTACTGATTGACGTATGAGAAAAGACTCACTGATCAGTCTATAGACTGATCAGAGAGGAATAGAAGAAAGGACTGAGGGACCCAGCAGCCATACACATAGAGAAAGCACAAGACAGAAAAACAGAGCAAATATGAATTAATTTTTTGAAAAGCTGACATAAACACAATTGCATCTGAAAAATGATTAAGAATCTCAGAATACAGGCCATGAAGAACCTAGAGGTAAGATGGGAATAAAGACACAGACCTACTAGAGAATGAATTTGAGGATATGGGGAAGCGTAAGCTGGGACAAAGTGAGAGAGTGGCATGGACATATATACACTACCAAACGTAAAATAGATAGCTAGTGGGAAGCAGCCGCATAGCACAGGGAGATCAGCTCGGTGCTTTGTGACCACCTAGAGGGGTGGGATAGGGAGGGTGGAAGGGAGGGAGATGCAAGAGGGAAGAGATATGGGAACATATGTATATGTATAACTGATTCACTTTGTTATAAAGCAGAAACTAACATCATTGTAAAGCAATTATACTCCAATAAAGGTGTTAAAAAAAATCAAAGTACACATACATAATTATATATGCAAGTTGTTTTAGTGTACAATATTTTTCTTAATTCATAATCCCAGTCACATTCTAAAATGCTTTTTTTCTTTTCAGTGTATAAATTGACTTAAGTGTAAGAAAAAAAATAATGAAAGTGTTTTTATCTCCCCATGAATTAGGCCATAAATGAGATTCTCAAGGTAACTACAAATTAAGGGGTCATCTGTTATTAACAAACACCAGAGAAATGTATTAAACATTGTAAAATCTAGTAGACAAATGGTAATATGGATAATACTGAATCCTAAAGCTTCTTTTTAACCTTTCATTGTAAATAAACAATGACTCAGGGAAAAGGGACATTTAAAAGAATAATCATATGTATTATTAAAGCAGAAGTGATGAAATTTTCAGGATAACAATGTATTTAAATAATAACCTTGCTGGACTTGAGCTCACCTCCTCACGCAAAAACTCCAAAATCACAATCAGCTGATTTTTCAGCAGAAACTCTGCAGGCCAGAGGGAGTGGCATGATATAATTAAAGTGATGAAAGGAAAAAACCTACAATCAAGAATAGCCAGCAAAACTCTCATTCAGATTGGATGGAGAAATCAAAAGCTTTAACAGACAAGCAAAAGCTAAGAGGATTCAGCACCACCAAACTAGCTTCACAACAAATGCTAAAGGAACTTCTCCAGATGGAAAAGAAAAGGCTGCAAGTAGAAACAAGAAAATTCTGAATGGGAAAGCTCACCAGTAAAGGCAAACATACAGTAAAGGCAGGAAATCATCCACACACAAATATATCAAAACCAGCAATCATGAAGAGAGTTACTAATGCAGGATATTGGAAATGCATTTGAAATTGAGACCAGCAACTTAAAACAATCTTGTATATATATATATATAGACTACTAAATCAAAACCGCATGGTAACCCCAAACCAAAACTACGATACACACAAAAAAGAAAAAGCAATCCAAACACAACACTAAAGATAGTCATCAAATCACAAGAGAAGAGCACAACAGAGAAAGGGGGGAAAAAAAAAGGGCCTTCCCTGGTGGCAAAGTGGTTAAGAATCTGCCTGCCAAAGCAGGGGTCACAGGTTTGATCCCTAGTCTGGGACATGCCACAGAGCAACTGAGCCCATGTGCCACAACTACTGAGCCTGTGCTGTAGAGCCTGCAAGCCACAACTAGTGAAGCCTAGAGCCCGTGCTCTGCAACAAGAGAAGTCACTGCAATGAGAAGCCCATGCACTGCAACGAAGGGTAGCCCCCAGTCACTGCAACTAAAGAAAGCCCACACACAGCAACAAAGACCCAACACAGCCAATAAATAAATAAATAAAATGAGGAAAAGAAAAAAGACCTACGAAAACAAATCCAAAACAATTAATAAAATGGCAGTAAGAACATGCGTATCAATAATTTCCTTAAATGTAAATGGATTAAATGCTCCAACCAAAAGACACAGACTGGCTGGATATGAAAACAAGACCCTTATATATGCTGTCTACAAGAGACCCACTTCAGATCCAGGGACACATACAGATTGAAAGTGAGGGGATGGAAAAAGATATTCCATGCAAATGGAAATTAAATAATAACCTCAGAATTCTACATCTATCAATCAATCATTATCATAATAAATATACTTATAAAGCTAAAGCCATGAAGCTAGTGGTTGAACAAGAATAGCATTAAAATGAATTTATACATAAAAAAATTTTTGGCAAAATTTCACAAGCTTGTCCATTTTAGAGCCATTCTTTCTTGTTCAATCCAAAAAACAAATCCTATCCAGCAAGTGCTGTTACTTCAATAATGTAACGTTTCATCCACTTATGATCCTGATCTGTATATTACAAAGAGCATTCATCCCCAGATAAAAGAATATTTCATTAACACCAGGCATTCTCAAAGCCTAAAAGCTTAAGAAATAAATTTTTAAAACCAATGATAGTTAAAATAAGGGGCTCTGAATTTGAAATGCTTTGTGAAACTTTATTGTATAGACTAAAATTTTGGTTTCCTGGACTCAGTAATACTAAACTGCCTATTGGGTTTAGTGGCTTCTTGCATCAGCTCCTGCAACTGTCCAATTTGTTCATCACGAAAGTCATTAAGTCTTTCTTCTGGTAGGGAGATTCCAAAACATGCTTTTTCAGTTGAATTGCATCTGTTTTCATTAGCTTGTTGCCATAGCACCGCTGCATATGCCTAGTAAAAAGAAAAAAAATTGAAGGTTATAGATATTAAAATGAGATCTGTACTCATTCATTTCATGTTGAAGAACTTAAAGAATCCTGTCACTGAGTCTTGTGCATTTGGCAAATAAGACATGAACAATATAGAGCTGTGTCTTTACTATTCAGTGATAGTTTCAAATACATATATCTTATTTTTAGCATTTTAAGAGTTTTATTACCAAAGTCCTGAATCTGGAAATCTAGAAGGTTCAAGGCAGGTAGGAGTGGTCCATGAACCGGCTTCAGCAGCACGCATAAACCACCCAAAAATCATACACAAAATTGTATGTACACAAACATGCACATAGTTCTGGGGCCATAACTTTCATCAGATTTTCAAAGGGGGAGTCATGGGTCTTATAGGCTTAAAAGTGGGTCTCAAAATTCTTTAGGTTCATTCCCCTGTCTTCAGTTTAAAAACGAATTTAAATCACACTTAGAAAAAATTTTCAAACCTTTAAGCTTTCAATATCTAACAACCATCTTTGCCAGAAAAAAATTCTACATTTTTCACACTAATTTTTCTCTCATTCTTT